ATTGAACCGGTTGTGACGTGACCTGGGCAAGGCCCAAAGTGGTATCATTGATGTCGATCGATTGCGACTCCAGCAAGTTACAATTGGAGCCCATTAGCCTAAGTTTTTGACTCTTATGCGACACCGGGGGAAAGCAGCTGACCAGGCCAGGACTTGGCAAAACGCTCAACTTAGATCCCTAAAATGCTGTTAAATTAACTTTCGCGGGGGAGTCCCACAGCTCTGCACCAACCAGTGCAATGCTCGCTTGCAGTTTCTTGAACTGATCGGGAGGGAAATATGGCTTTCTCGGTTACAAAAACCCCTTCTTTGGCCTTCGGAAGTGGCACCTATGTCGACTGGTTATCGAATTCACAATTATCCTGTTCTATGAGACAGACTAACATTCACAGCTCCATTGATGATGCATAGGAAAGGAAGAGGATGATGATGAAGCATTGTCGGACACGCAGTGGATGGTAAGTACCTGCTCACTCTTATCTCTTCGCTTCCCTTCCCTTTCCCCGTCATCGCCAACGCCAGGCGATCAACCCTGCCTCAGACTCGTCCAATTTTAGGTTTATTGAAGCTTACATCATTAATCTCCCCTGTCGTGGAATCTAGCTTGACATGTCGCCATCGTCGAGTGAAATGTACGTACCATCTTTGTTACGCGTATCAGAATATCATTTCCGAATAGAAAATGAAGTATCCAGACGAGGCACAGACGTCCTTTTCAGCTCTTTTGCACCGTGCCAAGGGGGTCTATGAAAGCAAATGGTGCATGTGTCGCTCCATTGTATCTGGTGTTCGAGCCGAAATTTATAATGCATCATTGGTTCTCTGTCACGTGGGATGGTCGCGAATGGCGAGAAGAAGTGTCTCGGACTGAGATGTGGAATTGAGAGTTTAATTTGTTTCCAAGAAAGCAAGTTATACTAACCTCTGGTCAGGCGACGAAGGTCAACCCAACTGTCTACGATGCGTGAAATCGGGAAGGGAATGCGTCAAGGGATGGAACATTCGATTCATCCATGGCGTTCGCATGAGTAGGGATGGGCGTGACGATACAACAGGAAAGGATGAGAACGCCGAGTTTCTGTTCGAGGAATGGCAGACGTGGATGCCGATTCGGGGACAGTCGCGTATGTCATTTGCCGGAAACCAACAATATGCACGTACCGACTTACGGGAACAGTATCCTTTGTGGATGAGACCAGCGAAACACGCGCATGGTACACGGACGAGGATGAACTAGCCCAGTCGTCTCAAGTCTCGCCATCTGGGAAGGAAGCGGAAACGATTCCGGTGCCGTACCCACGCGAGCATACATCGTTTGAGGATGCCATTCTTACCAGCTCCCCACTCACGCATGACCGTGCCGATGGGGTCCATGGAACCCCTTCTGAATTACGGTCTCCCTCGAGCATCCTCCACAGCTATTTCTCCACTTTGCACATCGAGAGTCCGAAATTGGTTGATCCACAGGAAGCGTTTCTGCTCCGACACTACATCTCGACGCTTGGTGTTGCGCTGGATGTCTGCGATTCACAGCGGCATTTTAGCAGCGTAGTGCCCGACCTGGCAACCCAGTCGCCGGTTCTCCTAAACGCCGCCCTGGCAGCGTCCGCACATCATCTGTCACGGGTGACCCACTATGACCCACTGGTTGCGGATATGTACCACGAACGGTGTGTGGAGCTGCTGATCCCTCTGCTAGATGAGCTGTCCTTCGTCCCGGACGAAGTCGTTGCCGCAACCGTACTCCTACGGCTCTACGAGCAGATGTCGTCTGCCATCACAGGATCTGATTGCGCCAGGCATCTTAGCGGCACTAGTGCATTCATGAACTCGGAAAGCACTTGCGCTACTGCAGGAGGGATTCGTCAAGCTTCGTTCTGGATCTTTCTGAGACAAGATATCGACGTAGCCTTGAATCATCAACGTCCACTCAAATTAAATCTGGACGCATTTGCCCCGCAAATGGACGCGAACGTGCTCTGGGATGACTGGGCGTGGGCCAACCGGATGGTCTGGAACACGGCAGAAATCGTAGCATTCGCATTTGATAGAGACAAGTCTCAATCACGGCTGGAGGAGCTCAAGACGAGGGCGGAAGACTGGTGGCAGCACAAGCCAGACTCCTTCCGACCATTGCACGTTGCACGAGGAGCTGTTTTCCCAGAGGTCCACTTTGTTCGACCGTGGCATGGTAAGACAACAGTTCCATTTGAGTAAGTCGGCGAGCTAACAGTCAGCAGCGATCGGACTGCAGTACTATCACACGGCGATGATACTGTTATTGGCAACTGACACAAGTCGTCTCCGACTCGGAGTAGGATACCGAGAGTCCAGGCAGATCCTAGAGGCAGAGGTCTCCGCTCATTTTGCCATGTTGTTCGGCATCAGCGCCTGCGGGGACGACGTCCAGGCCAGGCTCGGTGCTTGCCACGTTGTCACCATCTGTGCACCTTGGATAACAAATCGAACGTATCAGGAAGAAACTATCCGCATCTTGGGACGCCTGGAGCGTGAGAATTCCTGGCCGACTCGAGCGATAGCCCAGGCCGCCATGGAGGAGTGGGAGTGGGAGCAGGATGATCGGCATCGCGTGTTCGGATGAAGCCGAAGTAGCTTCAAACGTGGGAATACGGGTAATTCGAAGCACGCATTGTCGTCTGGCGATGCTGGGAGCGACGAATTTGTCAAGTCTAAACGATCCATGAACAGCGGGACTTCCCCCGCATCTCGGCGTCTTATCCGATTTCCCCGACCCGTTGTCTTTTGGTCAATATGATTGGTCAGACAATTCCCATCTGTCCTGAAAAATGAACAGTCGGGTTGTCTTCGATGCAAGTCCTACCACCTCAGACATCACGAGGAGAGCTGTCGTGTCGCTTCTGGTTTCTCCGAAAATGCTTCCATGTTTTTCTACACGGCATGACACGATTCGTGGAGTATCTTTATCCGCGATGTGTCGACCAAAGTCAATATGGCGTGATAAATTATATAGAGTGGCCGGGAAGACCTCAATCACCTTGCAACCGATCCAAGCAATCTAAGACGGAATGGTCAACATGATTAACTTACTCATCCTTGCCAGCCTCGGGCTGTGCCATCTCATCCTTCGTCCGATTTTCGTATACTTCAAAGACGAGAAAAACTTACGTCGCTTTCCCGCACCATCCGTAGCCGGATTCACAAACCTCTGGTCTGCAAATAATTTTCGAAAAGGTCGGCGGTCTCTTGAGGTACACAAAGCCCATCAGAGGCTCGGCCCTGTAATCCGGATCCAGCCGGAGCATATCTCGTTCAACCTTCCTGCAGCGGTCACAGACATTTACGGGTTCTCAACGAAAGTCCAAAAGGATCCCTTCTACAACACATTCACAGGCAACGAATATACTTCGATCGTTGGCACACGGTCCAGAGAAGAACATGCTCGAAAGCGAAAATATATCTCGAACGCGTAGGGAGCCAATCCCACTTTCAGAGATCCGGATGATATGCTAAATGAGATCTCATAGGTTTGCGCAGAAGAATATCCTAGATATGGAGCCAATAATTCAACAGCAAGTGGCGACATTTCTGACTAAGATGGACTCTTTCTGTAGCCCATCACCCTCGGATAATAAAGGTGTTCCGGTTGGTAGGACATTTCACAACGTTCGGAGGTGGCTCAATCTGTTCACCTTCGACGTGATTGGCGCTGCTGCGTTTGGCAAGCCGATGGGCTTCCTCGAGCAGGGAGACGACCTAGCACCTGCGGAGACCTGGGACGGCAAACGATATCACACGCACGCCATCCGCTCCTTTCATACAAACAGTCGATACGATGTGATTCTGGCCCATTGGCCGAAGCTTCTCTGGCTTACGAAACGCCTGACACAATGGCACCCTGGCAACAAAGGCGGAGCAGACTTCACTGCTCTCACAATTCGCAAGGTTCGAGAAAGGAAAGTAAGCGGAAAGCCGGCAGGATACACCGACTTCTTCCATCACCTCTTGCAAGACCGGAACGGGAAGGACGTTGGACTGTCCATCTTCGAGCTGGAGAAAGAGGCTGGGGTCATGATCAATGCGGGTTCGGACACCACCACCACTGCGATGACCCACTGCCTCTACTACCTTATCCGCAATCCTCCTGTTTTGAAGAAATTGCGCGAGGAGCTGGATACAGTCCTTGGCGGTCAGACAACAGCTGCCCGATACGAGCAAGTCAAGGATTTGAAATATCTGCGTGCGTGTCTGGACGAGGCTATGCGTCTGCGACCGCCGACGTCTCTAGGGCTACCACGCATCACGCCACCAGAAGGTGCGACTATCGCAGGGTATCACATCGCCGGTGACGTCACGATCTCGGTGCCGACGTACACACTCCACCGTAATCCAGAGCTCTTCTCCGATCCAGAGACATATAGACCTGAACGGTGGTTAGATGAAGTGGAAGGTCCCAGATGCCGGACATATGTGCTGCCATTCAGCACAGGACCGAGGGCCTGCATTGGACGCAACTTGGCGTACCTGGAGCAGCAAATTCTGATCGCGACATTAGCCCATCGTTACGATTGGTGCTTTGAGAGCGACAACCTTGAGCTGAGTACAATCGAACGATTCAATGCCAACCCAGCAGATATGTGGGTGAAACTGTGGAGAAGGGAGCCAAATGTGCAGGCGTAATGGAGCGGTCGTGCGTGAGAAGTGGTTGAACTGCATGGAAGTATGCCTTTATTCTTGTTTTCTTGGAATATATATATATATGATTCGTATCAACCAATCAATCAGTCAACCGATAGCCTTATTCCCGATGGAGCTTTTTCAGATACAGGTGCTATGCGGGGATTTGCGCCTTTTGAACTAATTGAACTAAGGTATGTAGGACAGGCTGAACCAGGGAAATAGGCCGCTCAAAAGGCTGAGAACTCCTGTGCCTCTTGGACTGAAAGTCCTATAGGATATGCTTCTCGTCTCTGCATATTTGCCCCTTTTGAAATTTCTAGTTCTCTGAGCGTCTCGTTCTCTTAGGGTGAATCCTGCTTTTCCTCTGCGGAAATTCCAAGCTTTTGACAGGCCGTTGAACCTCGGCCATTGCGGAAGTCCAATATGTCACGAGAGGGGCTGACAGATAGAAGCAACTCAATAGCTCGAGGAACGGCCACGTATCCTAAACCGGTATGCACCGCGTAATGAAAAGCCATAGTACCATGCCGGTCTCGCGCGTTGACAGTATCAGGCTTTATGTCGAGAAGGGTTTTAACGGTCTCTGCCATTTGTGAGACGGTCTTCTCTGAGTTATGCTTTTCTTTGCGCATATCCACGATACCGTCCGAACCCCAGTAAAGCGGGAGCCGTCCTTAATCGTCAGTTATAGATACCATCTCCGAAAGTTTATAATCGCCAGGAAGATCCATCAGGGTCTGAATAGCTTCCAGATTCCAGTAGGAAGCTGCGATATGTAGGGGGTCACTCCTCCGCCGGTATTCATGCCGGTATGAACACCATACCACGCCTGACGAGTATAGACGTCAGCTCCATTGGCAATGAGATGCGAGACCATCGCCTGGCTCGCATAGGGAATAGGCCCACCGAGAACAGTACCCGTTAGTGCCAGGACTTTCTCTGAGTCCTTGTTGTGTTTATAATCTTGCTCAAACGCATCGGACTCGGACACTAAGCAGCCACTCCTCAAGAGCCAGTAAATGAAATCCTCGACACGGTCTCGATTCTCGCGCGCCTTCTGCCTAGCAACAGGAAGACTCTCCCCAGCTTTTAACGCCACCATAAGACCGCCCGCTTCCCTTAGCGCCTCGGCCACGCATAAAAAGGAGTTCTATCCTTGAAACTTCGATCGTGTAAACTCCCTAGCGGTGGGTCGTGGTTTACCAACCACAGAACTAGATCTTGATTTGCAGCAGAGCAAGCCTCATGGACGAGAGAGACATTGAAGCGCTTAAGATATTTCTCCAGAGGCTCGGTGAGCGATGCATCCGAAAGATAAATCTGGATCAGTGCACGCAGTACATCATAGCTGCGGAACGCTAAAGAGTGCTGAAAGGACTGTGATAAGCGGCGTCGTAGGCGTGCAAGAAGATAGGGTGGTGTGGGCAATCATTGTATAGGTGAAGAGCCGATGTGTCATGTCGAATAATGATTGAACGGAGCAGCGCCTTGCACGGAGCTTCATATACAGGTGACCCGTCCGTGTCGAGGAAGACGGGCGGTCCGCCTTTCAGATCGGGGTGACGCTGATGGAACTTGGGATAAGCCATCGAACAAATGAGAGGGACATAAGAGGTTTTGAAAATATGCAGGGGTGAAGGAAGCAGGATAGAAGCGGGAGAAAGAAGAAAATGTGGAAGGCGGGGCCGGTGATGACTGATAATTGCCCGAGCCAAGCGGTAAACTTCAAATTATATATGCAATACCTATTGAACCACCTCACCATGCAAAGCTTTCTGCATGTAAGTATACACCCTCAGCGCCAGTCCCTTTACTCGACCCACGTTGCTCGCTCACAATGGCAACCGTGTTTCGTACATAGCTCACCAGTCCCGGAGGTCCGCACACCGCGACACCAGTTTCTCCCCGCGCGTGATTCAGCAAGTCCCAGAGAAGGGGCTTCAGCTGGGGCCGACCGGATTCAACTGTGGAACAGGCGGCTGGTAATGATATGCTTGTCTCTGCTTCCCTTTGTTGAGCCTTTCCCGATGAGGATGATTCAATGTCTGGATCATTACTCAAAGGAGTGTTGAATGTGCTTGAAGGAGCCTTGGACTGTTCAGTACTCAAGTCACAGCAGCAACATGGGCCTTCGGCATTCCGACACTTGCACCCTGGTTTCTTCACTGACGTTTCTGCTGGATCAACCTCACATGTCACAAACAATCGCACTTCAATTTCAATTCCCCTGTCGAGGAGTGACTTGGTTGCCTGTTGTAGCTCATTTGAAATCCACTTTGTGCATTGGATGGTCCTTACCACCCAAGCAAACACCACTTTGCAGGCCGGTAGCTTCTGATTTGCCGACCGTGCCGCAATGTCGAGAAGGATCGGTAGAGTGAATGTAACACCAGTGGATGCCGCGATGAGAAACACAGTGTCGAAAGCCGCAAAGTCGGAATGAGATCCACCATATGGACCACCAATAAGGGAAACATATTCCACCTCTTTTATTTCTAATGTATCCTGTCTGATGGCCTCCTCCTTTTCTGCAATCACCGGAGAAAGATCTGTTGAGGATGATTTGGCCGATTGGAGCAGTCGCTGAGTGAAGCCTCCATGGGCTCGCAAGATGAAGACCAAGTCATTATTATGGGATGAAGGGATGGAGAGAATCGTCGCTGGGTGTGATTGACCCAGTCCCAATTTTGGAATGGATAAAAGGACATGCTGCCCCGGATTCCAATTCTTAATCTGGGAAGAAGTGATCCGAACTTTCGTGACATCTCCGGGCAGGCTTTGAAGGGTGGCTTTCGCAGGTTTCATATTATTGAAAGCGTAGAGAAGGGTCCGGACCAGCCGGTCAAAAATAAACACACCGACTCCGATCCAAGCGTATATTCTAGGAGGAGAAACTGATTAGCGCTCTTCACAATCACAGGAAGCTTTGAACAAAGGGGGAAGTCATATCATACCTTGAACTTAGGGCGGTTGAAGGCAGATGGTGGAAGATAGCCATGACAAGTCCAAAAAAGGTGATAATATGTTGAACCACAAATATCTCATAGCGCCAATTGCGAATCGGAGCAGTGGAGGATAGAACAAGCCAAAGCATGATAATCCAAGTGGAAAAGCCTTCAGCAATGTTATTTTTCGACCACTATCAGCTTGGAGGATCTTTCAACATACCCGTGGGGATACAGCTATCAGTGTCAATCTCAAGTTTCATTACCCCATATTTCTTCCAGCCGTAGGCTTGCACACCACCATGGATGGTAGCAGTGAGCAGCATGACCCTTGCTACCCAACGGTGCAGAACTTGTAGTCGTTCGTATGAGACACCGACTGCGTACCCAATCAAGTTCCGCTTGCCAGCCAGGAGCAAGAGAAGTGGGAACTGAGCTATCGTGAGCCATCCTGCTCGGATGCCTTGTGCCTGCCAGTGTTGTGCGCCAGGGTAATCCCAGTTAATGAATTGCAGTCCCATGATGTATCCGAGGTATATTAAGATTAACAAGATTGATCCGACTGCTGGTATCCGCAGCCACGAGTTGATAGGGGTTATTTGATGGTATGACACTTCTCGGACAATAGCAGTACAGCCGGCAAGGAATGAAGTAATGATGTTGGACGGACTTGTCGGCCGGGGACGATTTGCGGCGGCCGCGCGCAATCTGAACTAAGAATTAGTAACAGGTCGATGATCTAGACGATATCTTGTGTAACCGACCGTAACTTCAGCTGACCCCATTGAGTCCAGTTGACAATACCTGCCAGGACGATGACAATGACAATGCCGTACCAAAATGCCCTCGCGATAGCATAATCGGTCTGTTGCAAGGTGGTGTCATCAAGAAGCGCAGCTAGAAATTCTGAAGCCACAGTGTCATTGGACATATCAAGCCCAGCGTCCGTGAGGTCGGGGCCTCCAGACATAGTACTATCCATATCCATTTTGACGAATATGTACAAATCCTGAAGTGCTAGGGCATGAAGCACAAGGATTGATGGAGATTGACTAGAACCAGTCTCCGAGGAATCACCCCAGCTCAGGTTCATTTATTAGTAATGTCTTCATCGTACGTACGAAATAGCCGCCCCACTTCTTTTTTCCGACCCGTGCCGTCAAACGAAGCTTGGTCTGGTCAAGCCTTCGCACTTAGCGCTTTTGGTTTAGCGCTGAGCACATTTGCGAGAATATTCGCTTCTACGCGCTCAACTAATCTCCAATCTTGCGGGGAGTCACGTATGCTGACATTAGATATCTTCAGCTGTCTGGGTCCGTTTTATTTTGTGTGTTATCTCCCGTCAGCCAAATATACGACGCGTGAAGAATTTTGTGTTCTCAGACAATTTCTGCGATCAGGCAACCACCCGCAACCGTTCATATTTTTGTGTCCCCCTCGATACTTCATTTCTTGATCTATGGACAATACCAGCATTTGTATCTTCCTTGAAATTTTCACATGACATTGGCCGATTAAATTTGCCCTCCATGCAAATGTCCACAACTACAACTGCCTCTGGTATGGCGATGTCGTCTACCGCCTCTATGTCCACCATGAATATGGCTTTCAATACCGAGAATCTTTCAACAATGCTTTATTCGAGTTCGTGGATGCCAACAAGCACTGGTGGTTACGTGGGCACGTGGTTTTTTCTGTTTTTCCTCGCCGTCATATGGCGATTCATAAGCGCGAAGATTGCCAAATTGGATGCTTTCTGGGCCTCGAAAAACGCTGGATACCCTATCTTCATCAATGGGGGCCAGGACAAACCCTCAGAGGAGAAATTGATTCAAACATGGCGACTATCAGTCAATCTTCCTCGTGCGGCATTACGAATGGTCAACCAAGGGGTTTCATATTTATTGTAAGTTCGCCTGATACGGCCTGAATAACCCCCGGCAGATTTTCATTCAAGTCCTGACCGATCGTATGAAGAATGATTGCGGTGATGACGATGAACATTGGATTCTTCTTCGCGGTCATTGTTGGCTATTTTTTTGGTGAACTCATCTTTGGTCGAGTAAGCGGGACTAATGGAGGAAGGTAATATCCGGGGTGCACATGGATGGACTAGGCTTCGCCAAAACCCGCGCCAACGAACCCAACCCAACCCAACCCAACCCAACCCAAACCCGCAAAAAGGTTAAGTTTGCATTGACTTCTTTGGCCAACACACGGGTTTTGGGTCAAGCTAGAAAACCTAACCTATTTAGGTAGGTCATTATTTTTGTATTATTTATATAGTAATAGTCTATGTTTTTGGGTATCTAACTTACAATAAAGACTTTCTATGACTTCTGTTTCTAATATGTATTAAATAAGTTTGTCTAGCTATAGCACATATTTTCTAATCGCTATTAGAAAAGGAAACTATAGAGCTACCATCTATAGTAGTAGAATTCTAATGATTAATTAAAAAGGGGGCTAGGGAGCTACTATCAATTAATCGATAGTCTTATTCCTAACAGAGCTTCCTTAGATATAGGTACTTTGTGGGGATTTGTGTCTTTTTGACTAGGAAATAGGCTATTTAACAGGCTAAGAGAACTCCTATACCTCTTGGACTAATATTCCTATAGGATATACTTCTCATCTCTACGTATACCCTTTCTTAATTTTCTAGTTCTCTAAGCGTCTTGTTCTCCAAGTATATTGTTATCTAAGCGTAATTCCTCCGCGAAAATTATAAGCTCTTGATAGGCAGTATTACCCTTTCTCTAGCAGGTTAATTACTTAATATGCTCGAACTAATAGGCTTTAAGGCCAATATCAGGGGAATGCTTTAATTAGTGAAGCTTGATAGTGTACTCAAGTACGAGGTTTTAGGGGTTTGGGGCTAAAACCATAGACCACTACTTAGTTGGCTCTGAAACTCAAGAATGCTAATTTTAGCAGACGACTAGCTACCTCAACATATTCCAACAATAGCATCTCCAACGCTTACACCGCGCATAAAGAGCTCTTAGACAGCCTTCAAATGACCCTTCGCGGACGCCTCCTCCAAGGCTATAGTAAGACTGCGCTAGTCATTCCTCGCTGTATCAGGAATAGGCTAGGTATCTATTAAATAGGAAACGCCGCCCTCGACCACCCCGAGAAGGACAGCTACTTGATTCGGATCTGCCCTATGCTCAAGTAGCGACATCACTATTTCAAGATGTCCTTTGCTCGTAGCTACCACTAGTAGGACACCGAGACCCTCCTCAGACATCAGCTTTGAATCGACTCCATATTACAGCAACGCCGCACCATACCTAGGTCACCACGACGACAAGCTTAATATAATAGTGAGCCGAGTCACTAGAATTAGCTTACATACTCCGAATAGGCGCAAGCCGACAAAAGCGTCAACGCGATATTAACGTCGCCATTGGCACAAGCAGCTAGCAGGGCACCGGACAATCCCTCTAATAGAAATTCTAACTGGAGCAGACACTTAACCATCTCATCTCAGTCTCGCTTATCCGCGCGGCGAGAAGAAGTAAAGGTCGGCCGCGTACACGAGTTCGTTATGCCCCATACTACACGAGGAGCTTCACTGCCGGACGTTAGCCACCGATAGTAGCCTTGACCATAGCATCGTATAGACGATGGGAAAACATGTGAGAATCAACATAAGCGCCAGCATTAAGCAGCTCCTTTATGATGTGGATATAGCCATATTAGGTAGCATAGCCGGAGGGTAAGTCGAATGCTAAGTTACCTTCAGCAGGATTCACTAGGACTCCATCTTTCAGTAAAAGCTTGACGGACACACGATCCCCTGCTATCGATACGACTAACAAAAGAGTCCGGGACTCTGACATCTCTGTGGTCCGCTATGGCAATTGCTTGAAGATCTCAGTCAATAGCGCTCGCATCACCCACTCAACACTTATCGAGCGACTTCGAGCGGCGGCACATTAGTTTCATATCATCGGCCTAGGGGTCCGCGAGAAAGTGAACACAATATATGAAGGGGATAAGAGAAGGCTCTAAGTACCTCGCGATGGAGCTGACCGTGACGTGTTGTAGGAAGAGTCGCTCCTACCTTTACCAAGTTTGCAACCATAACACAGGAGAAGCGATAAGGTCGCACAGCAGCAAGTAAAATAGGGTAAGTTCTCTCTTCACACCCAGGCTAATGCGTCTAGGACAGGTCGGGTTGATCATCGTCGCCGCCCACTCGGTTTGGGTCAAAGCCTGCATCCAGCAAAATCTGAATGACGTGGTCATTAGCCCATTAGCCCACCGTGCAGCATTGTGAACTGGGTACATAAACTACCCGGCGCGGTCATCTGGATCGGAGCCAAGCTCGATCAACGAGGCGATAGGCAACCCTAGCCCCCGCGACAGGTTCTTCACTGGGGAAATATTCCAGAAGTCTGAACCCTTGACTCTGAATCCTCAGACTTTGCAACCCTCGGACTTTCCAACCCTCTCGAACCCCCGCAGAACGGCTTGTAACGGGTTGATTAGCCGGGGGAAATTGGAACAGACCCGGACCCAGGTAGTCTCCTCGGTCTAGAGTGAAATTGTAATAGGACTTTCGGGTTCATTTCTGACCAACCCCGCTCTGTGCCAGACGGGCGTGGTTCCGGTACGTCCTTCACGCTGGCCTGGACGTCTGCACCCTTCTCTAGAAGCAGCAGGTCGATTTTGAGGTGTCCATTCTCAATTGCCGCGACAAGGCCCCTTGTGAGGATCGTCGTTTTGTATGCCTCCGCTATGCCACTCCCGAGACCACTGAGGTCGAGAATTGTCCGTACAACACTGGTTTTTCCTTGATAGGCGGGGGCCAGACAGGCCTCAAAGAGCACTGTACGTTTTCCATCAGATGCTACACCCCGGGGTCTTCTGCGCGAGGTAGCGGACCACCTTAGCCTTGCCTGTGAGCGCTGCAGTATAAACGCCTTTGCAAATTTGCCCCTGGGGAAAGCAACTCCCGCACGCTGGCCGAGCGTGTGGATAGAAACGCCTCCTCGAAGAGCCTGCTCGGCTTATTGCCCTCCATGAAGCCTTCAGCCTTCGCCCTGGACAGGAGGAGCTCCAGCAGCCTGTCATTCCTTGCTTGCGTTGCTGCAACAAATAACGATGGGAAAACACCCTAAACCGTCTTATTAAAATTTCCGAGGCCCTGGACTTTGGGATTGAGAAGGATTCTGAGGAATGAGATCATCTCTGCGGATGCAGTGGGAACTGTCTTTTCATCTAAGCCGTTCACAGTGGTAGAAAACTCGTGCTCCACCCCGCTAAGATGGAGTAGCCAAGATGAGAGGAATTTTGTTAGGTGATTATTTTCAAGCTTGAGAGAGGGCTCGATGGCTCTGCAAAACTCATCCAAGCAGCTAGGACGTGGATCAGGATGGTGTCGCAACAGCACTGCAACACACGGAAGGTTTCTAGACTCAATGGCTGCATGAAAGGGCAACGTCCATTCTGTCAGGCCCTGGATTGCACGATCTGGTCGAGATTGTCTACGCTCCGTCGTCTATAAAAGAGACTTTAATTTCACCCACAATCGCAAAAACGGAATTCGAATCACCTTCAAATTCTCTTCTTCCCCCGTTCTCTACAAGATTCCCTGTTTTATGAGTGCCAGGCTAGAGGTATATGTATCAGCTATCAAGGATCGCCAAAATCATGTTTTACTACGAGGCATGGTGATGAAGGTATCGATTTTCCAGAACATCTGCTGTTTATTGCTGGCGATGTGAACATGATTGAGATTTTGTGATCAAAAACTCAGATACAAATTCGCGTGTCCAGCAACGTGAGTAGCCGAATTGACTTTTTGTATGAGAGCGTGAGGAAATTGTGGCCTTTGAGGAAGAGGATCTCGTTCTTCTATTTGGCTCTTCTGCATGTACCGGAGAAGAGAATTATGAACATATGGAACAGTCTGGAACATCGATTTTAAAAGGTATCGTGAAGAAAATGATACATAACTAGCCTATGAATTGAAAA